CCCCCCCCCCCAGGGAAGAGCTGCATAGTAATTATGCTTTTATTTTATATTCTCTAATAGGAGGGAAGGGATTAAGGATAGGGTTAGTTGATTGTTTGTTGTTTGCTGATTTTCTGATTTTTCTCTTAGGTGTTTGGGCTCTAGCCCCATATTTGGAGAACCGGATCTTCCTCTCGAATTGGAGATCCATTGTATCTTGTTATTTTTCTTCTATTTTCCTATCAATTATAGAGTTCACTACTGTCTTACCTAGGGTTTTCTCTCAAAATCTACTTGATCCTTATGGAAATTTGCTAACTCAGCCCAGGATTTCTTAATTTCTGCACTGATATCCTATCAAATTGGTATCAGAGTACTTTCTTGGGAGGGAAAAGAAGTTTTAATTGTTGTTTTGCGAATTGGGACCTAGATCCAATCAATGGCGGCAAATAAGACGGATGTGTTAGAGGGCGAAATGGAGCAACTCAAGGCCGGAGTACAAGAAAAATATTTCGAGGTGGAAAGAAGACTATCAGCCATCGAGAACTGCTTTGGGAATGTTAAAGAGATTATGAAAAAAAATGCTTGAGATGCAATTGAAAGCATCACCAGCGATCACTTGGGGGAAACACGAGGAAAGGAGATCCAAGAGGATGACGATGAATTGAAGAGTGTCTTCCATCAAGGACTGGGCAGATCGGGTAATTCCGAAGGGAAGACAGCAAGAAGGAGGGAAGCTGACCCTTGTGGGAGGTTACCCGGGCATGGGTAGAGGTGGACTGGAGAAGGGCATGGTTGGGAGAGCCATGGGGTCAAAACCAACCAAGAGAGGAAGGAACACTACTACACAGGGGAAAACAACGGGGGAAGAAACCAATGGGGTATGGATGTGTGGGCAAGGAAGCTAAAGATGTCGGTCATTGAATGGGAGGATGCTCAAGGTTGGGTGTACCGAGTTGAACATTATTTTGCCATCAATGGGTTGATTGATGGGGAGAAACTCATAGCGGCGGGCCTATGTTTATAAGGGAAAGCACTAGCTTGGTTCCAATGGAGGGAGGCGAGATATTCGATCTACTCATGGGGAGAATTCAATGAGTGCTTGTTGGAACGTTTCAGAGCCATCCGGGAAGGGGACATCCACGAGCAATTTTTTGCTCTAACTTAGGATGGGACAGTTATAGAGTACCGGGAGAAGCTTGAGCTGCTGTCAGGGAGACAGAGGGAGATGTGTGAGGAAGTATTGGAGGAGAATTTCATGAAGGGAGTGAGGGAGGACATACGGGTCGAACTTAGGGTGTTGAGGCCAAGGGGGCTAAGTGTAAGAACTAGTTCAGCCGACCAGTTCAATTGAATCGGTCCTAATCAAATAGCGAGATCGGACAAAGCAGCAGACAATGCGAGTGGGCCACAAGCAGGCGCAGAAGCAACTGGCGAGACTCATTTGTGCGAATAAGCGAGGAAACATATTCAGAAATGAGAAGTAGCGACTCCTCGTGAGGAATAAGTGCAATTCATTCACTCCAGTGGAATCATACGAGCAAATAAAAATCAGCCGAGACGAAGAAGAAGACTAAAGGAATAGAGAGAAAAGAAAGGGAGCGGAAGAAAGTAGGCACCTGTGACCAAGCCAGTTGAGGGGGAGTCGTGTGCGTGCGTTTTAGGGCTTGGAGAGAAGGAAGAAGGTAATAAATTTGATATTTACAAAATTTTGATATATAAAACTTAGAATATAGTTATGAAATTTTTAGAATAGTTGTATATAAAATTATTGATAATAAAATCTGAAATTTTAAATATTATTTAGGTAATATCTTATAAATAAAATAGAAAACACTTTATGAGCATATTTTTTAGAATAATAATGAGGTTATGGAAAATTAATTTTAATTGAGTGTAGTATATGTTTGGTTATTTTGTTAAAATGTATCGTAGAGAGGGATAGAGTGTGTAAATGTTATGAAAGATTTTATTTAATTAAATTAGTTATATTTTTATAAATTCCATTTTAGGAATAATTTTATATTTACTAGAAAAATATTTATATAAAAAAGAAAGATTATAAAGTGCCACAATCAAAATAATAAAGATTATTTCAAATTGAGAAAATAAATTTTATAAAAAGAGATTTTACTTATACGAATAGTGGATTAAAATGACTAGAGATAATTTGCATATTTAATAGAAATTAAATTAATTATGATAGTGGATTTAAAATATCATCTATTAGGTTATGAATTTTCAATTGAATTTTGTAGGTATATTTAGAAAGAGAAAGATAGTGCATATAATTTAAAAATATATGAGAAATTTAAATAAATAATAAACTAATTTAAATTAAGAGTAATTATCATTTAAATTTTAACGTTAGGGTCTTTATATATGTGCTAAATATATTAACGTGGGTGTAAGGTGAAAGAGTAAAGTATCACAGTGCCTAGATTTAAGGTGAGTACTCATGTTCCTAATTTACGGTAATTGTATTACTTCTTCTAATTGTATTTAATTATTATTGCAAATGATTGATCTTCCACATTTTAAATGATTGATTATTTTAAATTAAATGGTAATTAGCATGATATATTTTACATTACTACATAAAGTTGATGAATGTTATATAAATAAAATGTTTAGATAGATATGCTTGTATATGTACATGATTGATTGATGAAGAACATCCCCTTATGGCTG